CCCATTTCTGGATGCAGGCTTTTCAAGAATTGGCAGCTATCATCAGTCCTCCACAAAAAGTAATGCAACATTTAATACACTTTAAGATGCCACTACTTCCTTGTGGTAAAAAAAAATACGTAAGTATAGAGCAGAAGCACAATTCTATTCTCGATGCTTCCACAGGTTATGTGGCCTTAGAAATATCTAATGCCTTAGCCTCCTGTTGTTTTTAAAGAGGGATACTTCATCCTTACCTATCTGCCAGGAATTTTATGAGGCTTTAACTAGATAATATGAATGATTTCTGAACCAAATGCCAAGTAAAATGACTAAAAGACTATAAAGGTGTAGAATATTTGAATTCAGCTGAAAATAAGGAAAAGGTTTTATCCACACGTTGTAAATGCCCAGGAATTTCTGCTAGACCAAGTGCAGAGGAAGCCAAGAAGAGATTAACGGGTGATGAACACCATTTCTTGAAAAAGAAGCTCAGACTTTCCAGAAAAGTAGGGGGGATCGGTAACCCATTTATTTGGATGGGTGGTCTGAAACACTGGGATGGGGAGAACTTCTATAAATGGGGTTTAAAAATATACTAAAGCATGGGAAAATAAGTTACGAAACCATAAGACAGCCAGAAAGACAAAGCCTGGAAGCTTTGTATTTCCAAATACCATTTTCATGGATAAAATAATGCTTAAATACACATGAGGAAATGGGCAGAAATATGTTAATTAGTAATTTGAAATTCACACTTTCTTTCATATCTGATAAAGACTTAAAAATTGAACAAATATATAGAGAACTAAACACAGAGTGAATAGTACATGTATGTGTGTGTGGAGAAAGACTCTACATTAATTGCCAATCTTGTGAAGGACCTGTGAAACATATAGAGATTGTTATAAGTTAGATAAAAATGAACTTCAATATATACCAACTACTCAGGCCACACTTTTTTATCACAGTGCATTATTATGTGGGTATTAATAAAATATGCACCAAAAAGCAGTATTTCAACAAAATACACACAAGCAATCTTCTGTATAAAGGAGGAAATAATGCCACAGTTATATAATTTAGGAAAGAATGACCTTTGTTCTACCTATGAAGTCATTGGGAGATGCACAAAGTGGCATTCAGAAGCAAATTTTTTTCATTGATAAACAAATGATAATTTAAATACAAATATTCAATTCTATAAGATAGAAAAGAAGAAAACTTCAGAAAAATAGAAAGTGGAGATTAGGATAAAAGCGTCATATATAAGAAAACTGAAAAATGTAAATTCAAGTAAATTAAAAAATAACAAATCTCTCTAAAAGACAAAATTTTAAATACATAAAAAGTTACCCAAAGTAAAAACCCTGGAAGAAAGCATTATCTGTGGGATCTGATCAGGAGACAAATCCGCCTTCTGCCCTGGAGAAAGACATTAACCTTCCCAGGCTGTTTGCTGTGCAAAAACATACGTGGATTGACAGTAGGAACAACGGCCTTCACAAGCAATTCAGAGCTGTGAGGGATGCAGGAGAAACTGCATCCTGACATCTACCTTTTGAACCAAGTATTTTCAAAGACTTGGGGCAGTGGAGCAGAGGGTTGAAGCAGGAAATGGTATTTGGATCTCTCATTGGTATAAAAGAAATCTCAGCACTTAACAAATTAAAAAATAAATTTATTTACTTATATGTTGCCTAAATGGGGGTGAGCTGAAGCAGCCAACCTTTGTTTATATCTTCGTAAGAGTCTTCTAAAGATGAGGTTCTTTCTCATCAACTTGAGGACAGCACAGCTCTTATGTGTGTGGCGCTCAAATAAAGGCATTGACTAAATCTCCATGACACTCTTTGGGCTGAGATCATGCTCTCAGGCTGTGAGCTTTGTGAGATGGATAGTTGCAGCTCCCATCTTGTTTGATTTCTTGAAATACAGGAATTGCTTAGAAATGATCTCACAAAATCACGTTCGCTTTTGTATATGCAAATAGAGATGTGTTTGCAATATAAATACAAATTGCCCTGTATGTTTTTTGACATACACGCTCTTATGATCATCAAAAGCCTCCAGGTCAAATTGGCAAATTGCTCTTTCAATTAAAAATGACTGTAGCATTTTAAACTTTATGTTTATCTTAATGCTTTTAATTGGATCATGATTATAATGTAAAAAGAGCAAAGGATGATTTCTATATGTCTTCTTACTGATCCCTCTTACCAAGAGAGGTTTTGTCAAGAATCTAAAATCAAAAACCAACAGAATTTTCATACAATGCTTGATATATTGCCACATTGTCATTGTACACTTCATAGAGGCCAAGTTATAGTACATTAAACTTAGCAAGAGAATTCAAAGTTGCTGCATAAATCAGATGGGTTCTATGTCATCTGATAGATTGCCAGTGATGCAAAATACTTGGCATTAGTTTGCTAGAGCTGCCATAACAAAAAGCCACAGATTTGATGGCTTAAGCAACAGACATTTATTTTCTCACAGTTCTGGTAGCTTAAGGCCAACATCAAGGCGCCAGCAGGGTCAGCTTCTCCTGAGGCTTCTCCTCAGCTTGTCGATGCCGCCTTCTCCCTGTGCCCCCGGTGCCCGTTCTTCTGTGCCCCTGCATTCCTGTATACCTATACCTAACCACTGTGAAGGCCCCGATTCCTAGTATAGTCACACAGGGAGATAGAGCTTCAGCCGGTGAATGTGGAGGGGAGCCAACTCAATCAATAACATACTCAGTAAGATTTTTGGATGATGACCGATGAATGGACTCCGCAGTCTAGGAGACTTAAACATCCGAGAGGTGGTGAACAATATCTGCACCTTTGGCAGAGATCCTGAGAACATATTCGTTCACGGTTTCAAATACACATTCTCCACTTTTCTGCAATTAGACATTGAGGGAAAATAAAGAGAAACTATAGAAACAAAGGAAGAAACAGAAGGCTAAAGGGCTCCTAAAATCCAAAACAATGAAGATCATGATAAGTAGAAATGAGGAGAAAAAAACAATATAGGACAATACAGGTCAAAGTTTTATGGAGGAAACTTTTCTCAAGTGGCTTCCAGTTATTTGTTGCCAGCAAACAAAATATGTTTACTATGTTTCCATGGTGCTTAAGAGCGACCATTTGGGAAGAAGCGTGTTTACAGAAAAAGGAGGAGGAGGAAAAGTACTTGTATCAAATTCGGGGAAGATGAATTTATCTCTGAAGATCTATTGTATGCTAACTAATAAACTGTCGTATGTGAGAAAGAAGAATAAAGAGTAGAAAGAACTGTGATTGATATGAGATTCATTTTATGAATCAATGATGCTATTAATGGGTACTGCTGACACTAACTAAAGATTTGTGTGTTTAATTAAGTTTATGCCTCACATGAGAAATTGGCTGTAAAGGTCAAAGACCTTTTGTCCCAGTTTATTTCATACAATGAGCCCTGCCTCCATTCCTCCCAGCAGTGTGCATTTCGTGTGCATGTAGACGGCTCCTGGCATGCATGGCCCCACCCACAGAGATTCTCCAGCTGTCAGGGCTCGGGTAGAACCAGAAATGCCAGCCGGCTTCCCAAAGAGTCTGCAAAGCACTGCCCTTTTGTTACCCCAAGATTGGCTTTTCCCCCACACCCCCCACTTATCCACCATGAGATGTGGTGTAGTTAGTGCATCTATTTTCACAGTAAGAAGGGAAATTTTGAAATCCACTGAATTTTGGAAAACATAAAAATTGGATGCACCATTGCTCTTTGGAGCTATCTTTAAAAAGAAAAGATACCTTCAACAGGGCTAGGCTTTTAAGTCCACTGAGTAGGGCACTTCTGGGGCAAGATACAGTGATTCTAGAAATGCTGGCTTCTAAAAAGGTAAATCAGATAGATATGTTGAAGCTCTTTGGCTTCTTCTATTAAATGTAAAAACCTGTCAGTTTTATATGGCGTAGGGCCTGTTACAGCATATCGGGTACTTTCCTGACAGCACCTTCCATACAGGGGCAGGAGCAGGCGGGTATTAGGGCAGAGGAGCTCAGGCAAGCAAGCCTCTAAGGCTACACTTGACAGGCTCCACCTCCCAGTTCTGCCAAGAGGCAGATTTTCAGGGGGAAATGTGAGATTTTATTGTTCAGGGGATTGCCCATTGCCTGTCAAAAGGTGAACATTTGCTCAGATTGCGTCTGAGAAGTGTGTACTAAAACCACATAAAACCATTTCTGGATGTTTTTTAAAACCTGGTGTGAGTCAATAAAAATAAATTTCTTTCTTGAAAATGCAGTGTAAAGTATTATTCTCTTTGAACTAATCACAAGCCTGAGCAGTGGATGTTGTATTGTGTGGATCTCGGCAGCTAACCTTAAAATTTATGTTTCAAGTAAGAAAATGTGCAACACTTATATCACAGAGCTTTTCAGGGGGAACACTTTTTTAATATGTGTGAGATGATGTCACAAGAGCAAAGAAAAAGATCCATTCGAGAAAAGAGCCACTGGGGGAGGGTAGGAGGCATCAGGAAAAATGGTAAGACACTGAAATGGGTAAAAACAATTAGTGAGATCCTGTGTTTGGCACCATTTGAGGATATCTGTTTCCGAAAGGGCTTGCACTTCCAATTTTTGAGCTATTTTATCATTTAGTCAGTTGTGGAAAGCTGATAGTAATGCAAATAATCCTTGTTCATAGGAATGCAAATAGACTTGTCTGGTGGGATACGATTGATTATTGTTCTGGCTATTTACCAGCATTCCTGATTGGCTATATGCCCATTGAATTCTCACTGGAAACAGTTGTACCATCTTTTTGTTCCTTCTTAATTTATGAGTGAGATTAAATAGTTTACAAGTGTTCATTTCATATGTTTTGTGTCATGATTTTATTTTTTAAAGTGATGCTTCAACAGCAAACTAGGCAGGTATCTATAACAGATTCTATTGAATGCCACCCACATTTAACCCACCAACTTTTGAAAGAGTGGATTTCAGTTTAATACTTGAAGTGAAGCCTGACACGCTTTCTTTTTCTTTCAGCTTCAGACAAGCTTGACTGAACCAATGACGTTATCCAAATCCATCTCTCTTCCTCGCAGTGCATACTGGCATCATATTACTCGTCAGAACAGTGTTGGTGAAATCTACAGTTTGCAAGGTAAGTGACTTTAAAATGATAAAATGGCACCTCCTTTGGCTACACAGAATGGACAGAATTGCATACCTCCTGTATGCAGATTGCTCCACATTTGCATTGTGTGTGCTTTTCCTCTATTTCTATTTATCAGCTGTCACTGGCCACAGTGGGAGCCCTGAGATTTACAGCGGCTTTTCTAAAGCTATCACTTTGTAGACTCATGGTAAAAATTATTCCAAATACCATGGAGGGCTGAGGACTTAATCTGGCACAGGAACTTAACCAGCACATTATACAAAACATATTATCAGAAGCAAAACGGACCTAATACTAGGGTGTTTAATGTGTTTTAAAAAAAATTTCTTTCTTAGCATTTTTTTCTTAATAGGATTGAATATGTATTCAGGAGGCAGACTTCAGGCTCTCTAATAAAATATCCCATAAACCTGCTCACAGAAGTCTTAAAGTTTAGACAAAGTTTGACATAGGAACAACTTGGGAGGGTGCAGGGAAGGAAACAAGAGTCAGCAGTTCGCTTCTGAGTTCCCTAGTGATGAATGGCTGACCGTGCATGGGATGGCTTACGACATGAATCAGAGATCCACAGCAGGCATCCGATCAACAAAAGCAGAAACCTTGACTTCGGTGTTTTTCCTCCCGTTCCTTCCATATTGTCCAAAGATAATCTTATCCATGAGATATAATGTTCAGGTGCAAGCAGCTGACTAACAGTTGACCAAGACTGAAGGAAGCAGGAACTAATAGAAATAAAGCTAACAAAACAAAGCTGAGACACCCCCTGCCAAACATATTTTGAGTGCAATAATCTTAAACATGATAAGTACCAAATAACTATCTGCAGAATGTGGTTAGGCATTCAGTATATCTTTTCCTTTAATACCTTAACTACTGCTTGTGTTAACAAATGCTAAATATTAGGGAATAGCAAATCAAAACCACATGAGACACCACCTCACACCAGTCAGGATGGCCACTCTCCAAAAGATAAGAGCAAGTGTTGACAAGGATGTGGAGGGAAGAGAACCCTTCTATGCTGCTGGTGGGAATATAAATTGGTGCAGCCCCTGTGGAAAGCCATAGGGAAGTTCCTCAAAATACTAAAAATAAAAATACCATACAACCCAGTAATTCCACTTCTAGGAATTTACTCAAGAAAACAAAATGCCTGATTTGAAAAGATAAATGTGCCATTGTATTTATCGCCACATTAATTACAACAGCCAAGATATGGAAGCAACCAGAGTGTCCCTCAATAAATGAATGGATAAAGAAGACGTGTACATATACACAATGGAATATTATTCATCCATAAAAAAGAAAGAAACCTTGCCACTGGCAACAACATGGATGGACCTAGAGAGTATTATGCTAAGTGAAACACGCCAGGCAGAGAAAGACAAATGCTGTCTTTCCCTTATATATGGAATTGAAAAACAAATCAAAACAAAATCAACTAAAATAGGAGTATACCCTATCTTGCCTGAGGATTTCCGTCCCAGGCAAGTTCACTATGGCTTCAGTGAGACCAAGAAAAGACAACGGAATGTTCTTGGGGTAAAAGGGTTTATACCCAGCTTTATAGGTTGAGAACTAGAGTCAAGTCTGCATTCAGCAGTCTGCAGGTCTGTAATTCACTCTGTCTCTGCCTCCTCCCAGGGCACTAGGCAGAGCTCTTTATATAGTGGCTCAGTCAATAATAGCTCATCACCTATGGGTATGGAAGCATTTGCCTAGCAGCAAGCTAGTTATATCAAGTAGTTTAGGGTCAGGTGAGGATCCTGACCATAGAAACTTCCATGTACCCCACAACCCATAGACACTAAGAAGTGACTAGTGGTTACTAGGTGAGAGAGGTTGGGGTGGGTGGGTGGGGAAGGTGAGGGGGATAAAAGAGGCACAAAAATCTCAATCATAATATTAAGTTGGTCATGGGGATAGTACAGCATGAAGAATATAAACAGTGGTTCTGTAACATCTTCCCATGTTGACAGTAATTGCACTAGTTGGGGTGAGAGTGTAATAATGTATGTAACTGTTGAACCACTGTGTTATATACTTAAAATCAATATAATATTGTATATAAACTATACTTCAATTAAAAAAATCAGTGCTAAATGTTTTGACAAAAAGGAAATATTTGTTACAAACTAATGGAAGTAGTATATTTTTAAAGCAATATTTCCTTGCCCGGGTTTCAAACCTAAACAAGTGGGATTTGATCAGTGGGAATTACTGATTAAAGATACATTCTGTGAGCAAAAGCACTCAGAACAATTTTAGTTACTTATTGAAGATAATTGTATTTTATATTTAAATGAACTCTCTTCTGGCCAACTTAACTATCTGTATTTAATAGGTAGTCATCCTTTTGTATTATTTGTATGAGAAAACTTTTAATACAATAAGAACTAGAGGACTGAGCGAAAAAAGGGGACATGACAATTTCAGGAATCAAAAAAAGGGGATCTACTTATTTTCTTCTTTTCCTCCACAAATGCCAACAACCATATCCTAAAATTGCCTGAGCCCTGATCTTATAACATTAATCTTCTTGTTTCTATGAGTAGACATGGTTAGAAAGCATTCTTTTAATATAAGATTGTTTTTATTTATACATAAACATAAAAATGTGTAAGTATTGTTTTAAAAAATTTCAACTAAGTAAATTTCACAGGTTTTACTGGCTTTATTCAATGGTTCACGAATTGAGCAGCATCTCATCTAGCAGAGAGAAAGGAGCTCGGAGGAGCTGAACAAGAGAAAAGACCTTTACAGACCGAAGGGAGCAGGGGCAGGGAAGTTATAGTAGCAAAAAGGGGCTTGGGTGCGGCAAGGTCACCTTTCTTCAGTGGATGTCAGGGTCTGTCAGGTGGATTATCTCACTAATGCTGACCAGGCAATCCCTAACTGTATTTAAGCGATTTAAGATTTTTCTATTTTCCCAATTGTACTTAGATGGATTAAGATTTTTGTTTCTGGAAGAGCTGAAACTGTAATTCAGTATTAAGTCTTGGGCTGGTGACAGTCTTAGCACAAGTAACTATTTTTGGTCTGTTTTCATGAGTTTAGCAATATTGAAATTCAATAGAAGAAAACAAACTATAGAATGTTTGATAAAATAAAGATCGTCAAATTTCTAAGCTAAAAGAAAGTGAGATATTAATACAAATAGGTAGGAGATAGGTTGGAACCAACATAATCGTAAGTGGGCTTTAACAAGGGTTTAGGCTATAATTCCGGCAAATAAAAGACTGTTGCCTTCATGGTGCACACAGGAAACTCTTTCTGGAGGGCTAAGATTTAGGTTGATACACAGGACCATATATCATTTCATATCAAGTTAACAAAAATAACAGAATACATTGAAATTTCTTCAAATTTCTCCAGATTCTCTTCTTGGAGGACAACGTTGATTTACACAATAAAACAGAACCAGTAACTGACTAGAAGAGTCTAGGCTTTATCTCACTAATTCTAGTTTCTAGCAAAAAAGTTAAGGGCTTAAAATGTGTCCTCAATTATGATGAACAATTTGCTTAGAGGTGCTCAATATCATATTCTTGTTATTTATTGTTCATTTTTGTGTGACAAAATTATCCACCAGCTAAGGTCATCATTGCAAATGAGGTAAATATAGAATACATTTGAGGGTGAACTACATTTCCCTACACCGTGGCTTGTTTGTGTATAATACATAGCTTAACACAATACATGTGGCCACTATATATGCCCCCTGTTTATGATTACATCATATAGAGAAATATATAAATATTTAGACAGATAATAGAGATAGATAAGTAGATAATATATAGAGAGAGACAGATACAAACTTGTCAGTTATACTTTGACAGGGGTGACTTATTTTACTCTCCATTTGTTCTGTTGAGGAGGTCCTATTAAGCAGAGGACAAGAGACTTTTAATGATAATTTTTTGGGGGGTGTAATCTACATAGGCTACACCCTAAAGGAATCAGGCAGAATAAAAACTACTGAACCAAGAAGGAAGTAAAAATGGAAACACTGAACCTCAGCACCCCTTATGTACATCTACAGTTTTTCCCTCCAAATGTAATGTATTTACACGCGTGGCTATGTTGTATCTGGCTTCCTCAGACATGCCCCTTGGAGAGGTACCACCTCTTCTTTACAAAGAGGAGGATACAGTGACGGCGGTCATCACCCAGCTTCCAGAGTCAAAGGAAAAAAGCTGGGCAATGGCGGGTGTTAGATCCTCAAGTAAACCGCAGGGAGCAGTGAGAAATAAAAATATATTTTTAGAATTTTTTCATTGTATTTTTTTACATTCTAACTGAACCAGCTGAAATCAATATGAATTAATTTCAGCAGGCTTTCCCACTCACAAGGTAAAGGCAGAAAAGTTTTATATATTTAAAGTGTAATAGATTGGGATTCATTAATAAACAGCTCATGTCCTAAAATTTAAAAAAAATGTTCGTGGTGTGAAAACAAATCTATTCTGCATTAAGACTTACCTGTAACTTCAATTGCCTGTCAACCTCAAAACTGCACTTGGCTTGGTTTTACTGTATTCATTTATAGCTGTTGTGTAACTACGGCAGCAAGGTACCCCCGGAAGGACTAGCTCACCAACACAGACACCCTGCATTTACTTTAATGTTCAGAAGAGAAGTGCAATATAATCTGCCAGTTCTCTCCATGCTGCTCCCAGAATGGTGCTCAGAAAAATGTATGTTTTTATGGTTTCTCTATTATACGCTAGCTCTCCCAAGTCAGAAGATTGAGAAAATAAATGAGTAGCTTCAGCAAGTCCGAGGCGGCCAGCTAGTGTTTAAAATCTCTACCCCTAATGGCGTGTGATAGGTTATGTCATCTCTTCCTGCAGAAGTGATCAAAAAGACTTCCTTTTCTCGATTTCTGCCAGATAATAAGGATGACTGATTTGTATTAAAAGGTAATTTTCTACTTCTATCTCTCTACCTTGTGCATTTATGAAAAATGTTCGCGTCACAACACATTA